TCAAGCCACTCATGCGCCTTCGGCCTGCAACATGAGTGGAACATCTTGAATTTGTGCAACATGCGCTCCTTTTGTCAAGAATCGGTTCTGTGGAGCAAAGCCTTCAGGAATTAAACACTAAAAATAACTGCATCAATACTCTTGATGCTTCACCATGTGGACAGTTTGATTGGTCAAGGTCATTCATTCAATCCAGAGTTAGTTCCCAGCAGCAGTGTGCAGTATGCCAGTATGCAGAAAGAACGTCGTTCAAGCGATGATCCCCCGAAATCAGCAAAATATGTTATTCTCTTCCAACACTGCCGACTGCCCGCCTTCTCAGCCACTCGGGGTGCCCAGGCTGGCTGATTTGGGTTGAACTCGGGAGCATCTGCATGAAGCCTCGAACAAATGAAGTGATTCAAAAGAAAGTCCAACCAAGCCAATTCAACATGGTATGATCGCTCAGAATCCCTTGTTGATCAACATGGAGATTCTACGGACTCTGTTCTCGTTGTTAATTCTGTCTTTGCAAATTCTGAACCTCCAAATACCAAAGCATGGGCCCAAACCGATGGGTTGCAACTGCTGCATACTCGGTCTTTCCCACTGCGCCAATCCAGGCCAACTGTCCTGGTTGAAATTCCTTGGTCAGTTTGGAGCTTGTGAGCAACAGCACAGGCAACAGAATCCGCCAAAATCGAAAGTAGCTCGCGTCCAGTCATCCCCATGAGACCCAACTGATTGACCGTTTTCTCTGCCAAAACACTGGTGCGCACTCACGGAGCTTTTCGCCATTCTTAGTATCTGCAGGAGGCTCCTGAGCCATCAAGCCATCCCAAAGACAAGAGCATTCGGTTTAATCATCCTCTGAGTCTTCCCTCATAAAAGACAAGAGCAAGTATATTTTCTTACCGCTATTTTGTTGAGACCGTCGACACCCTTTGCATCGCACATCCACCCCTAATCTCCTCCTTTATCCATGGCAACTTCTCTGCGTTCGCAGTTGCAAGGGTGCCCTTGCATCGATGTGTTTGCAAAACAAATAACTGAAAAAAAAAAACATTGGATAACATGCTTTGCAGTGGCTTTCGTCGTGCCTTGACATCATGGTAAGCATCCTCATCGAAGTTCCGAAGCAACTTGTGCAGATAGCCTACGGCGTCATGACGGTTTGGATTTCTCTTCGAAGTCAGCGAGACCGCGAAACCTGCCCTCGCTTTGTGCCTCTCCAATGAGTCACCTTATCGCGAGGGAGGACCTCCACAACCTTCTTCACATGATTGCAAGCCTGCTTCGAGCTTCAATCTCAAACTCTGCTCATCTAGATTCTCCAAAAGAGCCTATGACTTGACTGGATTGCAAAACAGAATGGCACATCTTTCACATCCAGCCTCTTGCAGCTTATTGCGTTCCCACAAGGCATCCAAAAGCAGGAGGATTTTCTTATCGAAATCATTGCGGCAAAGGACCTGCAGCAAATCATTGAATTCAAGAAACGTGTGGTATCAACCCTTCATTCTGAGGACAAAACTGTATTTCTGATGAGGTCGTCGACGATCTGACGGTATGGCTTCCTGCACCACAAAGCGCGATGTGGCGATTCGGGAACTACAAAGGTTGTTTTAGCTTCTTCCTCACTGGAAGAATCAACTTGAAGGGGGAGGTGCTGCAGCAAACCAAAACAAGCAGAGCATCAGGAAGATAAGCATGAGCACTGGCATGGGGGCTCATTGGGCAAGAGCACATGAACGGGGAGGATGGGTAAGAATGAAGTGGATGAAGATGAGGTGTCGAGAAGCTGGATTCGAATCCCATTGGAGCCGACTTTAAGGATGGAAGACCAGGACCCCAACTCGGAGGGGAAACCAGCCCGATTCCAAAGCTTGTCAAATCCAGGTAGCTAAAGCCAAGCTACCTTTCCAAACATGTCAAAGACATTAGTGCAAGCGCTATCCGGCGTTTCTTTGGAGCTTTAGGTTGCTCCCTTAATTAAGTAGGCGCCTACTTAATTCAGTAAGGGCGGGCTATTCAAAAAACAAGACTTGAAATGGCAATCGTTTGTTCTCTTCCCTGTCCTGGCAAGCTCCAAAGCCGAGCTGGAGCTCTCCCCGCCGGCGGATTCCTTCTGGGAATCCCGGTCACGGTCACGATCACCACGGCCACCACCCTGTGTTTCGAGCCCGAAAGCTTAGGGAGAGACATGGAAGAAACACGGGAGAATCTACTAGTAACAAAGGGCATCGCTACTAGCAGCAAGCACGCTACTAGAAGCTCCTGGCCTTACTACTAGTAGCAAGAAGCTACTAGTAGCAAGGGCTTCGAGCCCAAAAGCTTAGGGAGAAACATGGGAGAATCTCCCTAGGTTTGGCTAACCTGTTTGGCGGCTAGCAGCGACTACCGGGGCGTTTCTTTTTCTTGCCATGTCAAAAGAAGGTACTGGGTGACTGGAAGTTTGCACCATCCCAACAAATCGGACCGCCACTACTCCTTCGATTTTGCAATAAATGCCTCAAACAAAAACAGTGCAGTGCATATATTTGTATATATATATAGAGAGAGAGATAGAGAATAGAAAGTGGGGTCCCCTATCTTTTGTTTTAAAGACCCTTCAATGTGGTCTCTTGTGATCTTCCAATGCCATCCAAGGCCCTTGCCTTTTGATGCGGTCCCCACCACTGGCCCTGGCGTGGGTCAAGGAACTCTTTGAGTCTCATTTCCTACTAGCGTCTTGTTACTACTAGTAAGGCACTTGTTACTAGAAGCGATGCACTTCTTCAGTACAAAAGTAAAAACACAAACGGCCAATGGAGTACAATCGGCTGCCTGTCCCATGCCGTAGCCATGCTGTGGCCACGGACCCCTGAGCCGATTTTCTAACAAGTCAGCTGAACTAAGCATTTCAAAGAAACAGTCGCAACCTTTAAAGAATTGTTCAACGGATCAACCTTTGTTTTGGGCAACAAGTAACTTTTCACGCGTCCTCTCAATGGGCACCTCTATGAAATGTGATAAATAAACCTTCTTCATGACCAACATGTCTGAAACCCAAAGGTATGGCGAGTCGCAAAAGTTACTGAGACTAACATGTCAGACCTTCAAAATCCACAATATCGGTACAAACAATGCAACACTAAGCACTGCTAAGGCTGCGCTAAGGCTGCTGCCACCACATCCTGTTCAGGGAATGCAAACCCACATGAAAGGACAATGTGTTTGATGAACATACTGGTGAGCTAGCTGCTCGCAAAGGCTTAAAAGTGCCTGCTGCACGTTGAAAATCGCCCGATTCACCCAAAACAAAGCTGATCCACTGGAGCTGCGGCCAAAGCTGATCGTGTCTACAAGTTTTTTTTGTGTATAAAACCATGTATATCCTTGTAACAACACTTGTTGGTCTCCACCACGAGCTTGTACACACGCTTTCAAGCAACAGTTGTTCTTCTCTTTTTCGGTTCCACCTCAAGACAGGGCTCATGTCCTCGATTGAGGTGGCAGTCCCGCTTCAGAATAAGAAAACAAATCAGCTTTGGTTTGATCATTTAGTTTAATCAGAAACAAACGGCACCCCCAGTGCAGACTGAATTGCGGCTGCAAGACATCAGCCGATTCCCATTAGCTCAAGGCCTCGCAGCATGGGAAAAACCTTTCCTTCCTTGCTTTGCCATCCCGTGCCTTCCTCCAATCCCCAAAATATCGCAACAAATCAATCTGGCGGGGTGTGCCCCACCTCAGGAAGAAGCTGCAGGTCTGTGTCACAAACCACGTACCTGACGAAACATTTCGCCGTACTAGTCCCTACACTCACAGTAGGCCTTGCAAGTCACTAACTAACCCTCACTAAACTAAGAGCCTCTAGTGCCCTGTGCAGTTCTGTCAGGGATCAATGACAAATCGAGTGACTAGTAAAACGAAGCGTTTTCTCAACTCATTTTCGTGGCGAAGCCAATCAGATTTCGGAGGAGCTCCCAAAGCCGGACCCATCAGTCATTGGTAGAGCCGCTTGAGACTTTGCACGGCCAAAAGCAATCTTGTTGGGAAACATTGTTCAGGGAAACACTCGGCACGGTCGATTGACCTTGCTGAGCCTTTAGGCTGTGCACGCGTGATATACTCATGACTCATGACTCTACGACAGTGGCTTTACGACAATTACGACAAGTCACAATGAAAAACATAAATCACAGGGCGATCGTCCGCACGCACAACGCACCGAGGAGAACTGATCACCCAACGCGCAAACGAGCCACGTCGTATCACGGCGTCGTGACACTGTCCCAAGGGAAACTCCGACATCTCTTCAAGGGATTCTAGTAGTTTCTTGTTCCTAGTAGTAAGGCCAGGAACTACTAGTAGCGTCCTTGTTCCTAGTAGCGATGCCCTTTGTTACTAGTAGCTTCTTGTTCCTAGTAGTAAGGCCAGGAGCGCCCCTAGTAGCGTCCTTGCTCCTAGTAGCGATGCCCTTTGCTACTAGTAGTGCCCTCAACACACGAGGGATCAACACATGGCGAACGGACCGCCCTAACGAAGATTCCACTACATGCAATGCAACCTAACAGCTTCGACCTCAGTAGGATCACTTCTTTTATCCCTTTCTCTCTTCCACCCTTCCTGCCCTCCTTCTTTTCTTTTGTCCTTTCTTCCTCACACTTGTCAATTGTTATGCGCACGCGCCAAAGACCGATGTATCCGGACCATCCTCGATTAGCAGAATGGGGTGTCCATGACTTTACATCCGTTTCAAGCTCCTAGTAGCGTCCTTGTTCCTAGTAGCGATGTCAGGAGCCCCTAGTAGCGTCCTTGTTCGGAAACACTCAGGTTTCGACGTGCCGATAGACTGTCAATGAGTGGCCTGTGCTCGTCGGACGCTTTGCGTTTTTAAAATCAGCATCTTTGCGATCGCCGAGCTCTGCACTGTTGCCCTCACGCGGCTTCCCGAGATCCTGGAGGTTCGGGTAAAGCAAGGTTCTGTAAGGCTTGTGAACGGGCTGAGACGTGGAACAAACAGTTGCTGAATACTTCTACTCCTCTCTCAACGCATCCAAACGCTTCTGCGCTCTTTCGCGCGCTTCCAGATTTTCAGCAACTGGCACAGGAATGGTCAAGCGCATGACTTCTGCCAACACTTTCAGCAGTAAAAGAGTATGGGAGCCCAAGCTCTGTTTGGCAAAAAGCACGTTCTCGCGCCTTCGTCAGCACTTTCTCCAAGCAACCCATTTGCCTGCGTTTCTCAAACCCTTTGTAGGATAAAAGCAGATTTATTTCAATATGTCAGCCTCATCAGCGACAAAGACCCACTGGAGGCATTCCTCCTGACAGGAATATGGCATGTTAAGGCAAAGTAATTTGGAACCCATCATACATGGTTCCATCCATACCTTTGAAACCCTTCAGCCCTCCTCCTGCAACAACAGTTTGAAGCGGAACTCTAGCCTTCAGCTGGCAATGCAGCAATTCATTTTGTGCCGCTTGCAAAAAGGACGTTGGCATGCCCCAAGAATCGCATCTAGCCTGAACAACCAATGTCCACAGGGCCACACCTGTCACAAAAGGCCCCGCGTGGGCACAAAAAGCGCAACGGTTACTGCGCCAAAAAAGTAATGGAAAACCAAGAGGTCGTCGCCGTCGTCGCCGTCGCCTTGCGCTGTCGCTTCAGGGCTCGGATCGGCGAGGTGGGCATCGGAAAGACCTGGGGAGGGTCCGTCGGCGGCGGTGCGCTCGTTGCTGTGTGTCGCTTTTTCTCTTCTGGCTCTCGTTGCTTCATGTTGCTTCAAGTATGGGAGAAACAAAGCAATGTCGAGGTGCCCATTTGACCACATCTCTGACTCGGGAGCCGAACGTGTCCGCAACAGCAACACTTTGTCACGACCAAATCTTTGGCCTCAAATCACCACGAAGCATTGCCGGTGTGAGCAGTTCGGATTTGCCCAAGGCATGGACCTGTGTTGCATCAGCGCCACTGACATCACAGATCCTGCAGTGTATCAGCCATGGCAAACACATCACGGAATTCCCTGCAACACAACAATCAAGGAGAATTCCTCTATTTCTCTGGAGGATCCTCCAAATTGGAGACTGTTTAGATCTTTTTAGTTTCATGAACTCTTGTGCACAGAAGTCACAGAATCACTTACTTGGGCCTGGCGATGATGAAGTTGTGCAGGACCATGCACCTCATTCTTAGGCGAACACTCTCAAAACACACGCATGCTTGCCTTGGGCATTGATGTGCGCTCAGCCACCCCAATGCTCTGGCCTAATAGCTTCTTGTTACTACTAGTAAGGCACTTGTTACTAATAGCGATGCACTTGTTACTAATAACTTCTTGTTACTACTCAGCAAATATCTTTGGCATTCTTTGGCTTACTTTTAGCTCAACGGTTACCAGAAGCTACTCAGTACAACCCTTCCATTGTCGAACTTAATTGTCCTTCCATCGGTTGAGACCGTGGCCTCTCACCAGCTTCGGAAGCTTTGCTGACCTCGACCAGCCTGAAACAAAGAACAGTGAACATCTTCAGAGAATGAGAAAACACAGACCAGCTACAAGTTGTTTTGTCGCGCTTCCCTCTACTCTATATCCGTTCGTTTAAGAACCTTCCCCTTCTGGCACCTCTTGGGCTGGATGGTGTCAACATAAACCTGAGTGAAAACAAACAGTCGACCTGACCTGGTCCCGGGCCTTAAAGCAGCACTGCACAGCACATTTCAACACCACTAGCAGCTTGAAGTTGTTTGCAACTGCTGTTCACAAGTGTCTTGGGCTTTCCGACCGTGTGCAGCTGCGTTCGCGGAGAGGATGCTTTGACCTGGCAAGGATCAGGATGCTTTGACGAGACTTTCAGGACACCTCATGCCTCAGTTCTGAATCATCATCTAGTAGCTTCTTGCTCCTAGTAGCGATGCCCTTGTTCCTAGTAGAATCACCCTATCTTCCAAAAGCTCCAGGGAACAGAAAAGCGGAAACGACGTGTCAGGGCCTCAACATCTGTCTGGACTGGTGCGGCAGCTGGAGGCGTTTCCTGGGCAAATCTGAAGCGGAATCTGGCCAAGCAACCTACCAGCTGGCAAATCCTGAAACTCATCTTCTCAAATCAATATGCCGCACCAATATGTACAAATTGTATTAGACTCTATGGATTTCCTAGCGTAAATTCCCTCACACCGCCCTGTCCTCCTCTTCATCGATCTCCGTATCGCCGCCTACATGCTGTTGGTACTAGGCCGGTCAGTCCAACGGCAAGCTCCATGCCTCGTCCATCACGGGGTGCCTGCCACGATAGGTTCTTGGCCCTGAAAACTACCGATAGGATATGACGTTCTCCTTGAATAAATACCATTAGGTTGGAGGCCGTCGCTTTTAGGTTGGAAGCCATCGCTAGTAGATTCCTTTTGCTATGAGGTTGGAGGCCATCGCTTTAGGTTGGAAGCCATCGCTAGTGGGTTCCTTTTACCATTAGTAGGTTGGGGGCCATCGCTTTTAGGTTGGAGGCCATCCCTAGTGGGTTCCTTTTACCAATAGTAGGTTGGAGGCCATCGCTTTTAGGTTCGAGGCCATCGCTAGTAAATAGGTTCCTTTGGAGGCCGTCGCTTTTAGGTTGGAGGCCATCGCTAGTAGGTTCCTTTTCCCATTAGGTTGGAGGCCATCGCTTTTAGGTTGGAGGCCGTCGCTTTTA